GTTTGTCCCAAGGTCTCTCTCCAGGTAGGGCCCTCCAGTTTCTCATCAGAACACGCATCCCCAGAGCTCAGGGGGGGCAGCTTCTAAATGGAATTCGTCATCTGGAATTCCATTTAGAAGCTTGGGTTCTCAGTGCCTTGGGTTCTCAGTCTGGTACATAAGCTGGTGACATTGTTTCCTCTGGCTCTTACTGGGAAATAAGACCCATTACTCACTCATTGTACGTAGACTCTTTGTGAAACAGGAAATTCAACCAACCAGCTAACCTCTCAGAAGGCATTTCTGGAGCTCCCCTAAGGCAATGTGCATAGAGAAGCTGGTAAATCTGAGTGCTGGCCACCTCTAAGACTTGGACTCTGCCACTGGTAGATTTCAGAAATTGTGTCCAACCCTGGCTCACGCCTGCAGAAGAAATGGTCCACCCCTGCAGTCATCCCCAGGCAAGGCGGTGGTCTTATCACTTTGGGGGGGCAGCAGTGCAACAGGAGGGAGCGACAGGAGTTGGAGGGCAACAGGAGTGACCCTCATGGCCTTGCTCCTGGTTTATCAAAGCAGAGATGGTAAGGCAAGTGCAGAGCAAGTATGAAGCCCCAGAAGACTAAAGGGCAAAACCATTGGGGTCTGGAAAAGAAGAGGCCAGGCTGGCCAGTTTCCGTGTGCCCAGTCCTCACACTGGCACAGACAGTCACCGAGGAACCATTCCACAAGGCGCCACTGTCTGCCATGACTCTCCAAGAGAGGCAGGAGCGCTTCCGGGATTCTGGGGCGCCAGATGTGGCTCCAGGTGCTGGAGAGACACAAGCCATGCTGAAGACGGCCAGCTGGGCCCCAAGCTCCCTGGCTCACACTCCGGTCAGGACCCCGACATAAACCATGAGAACAATTCTAAGGAGCAGACACACAGACAACGCCTGAGTTCACATGGTCCACCAACAATCTTAAGACACTGTGATGGAGGCAAAGAGTTCCCCCAGGGTCTGAGAGCCTGCTCCAACATCCTAGTACTGTTCCCTCTCACTTTTTATGAGAGAGAGAGAGAGAGAGAGAGGCGAGGTGCCTGCCATAGAGGCAGGCAGGGGTGGGGGGGGCTGGTTTGGGAGGGTGGGAAGGAAACTGGTGGTGGGAAATTACACTGGTGAGGGATGGGTATTGGAACATTGTATGATTAAACCCAATCATGAACAGTTTGGCAGTGCTCTATCTCATGGTGATTCAGTAAAATTAAAAAAAAATTTTTTTGAACGTGGTGATGGTGCAAAAGAGACAGGCGTTTAGTAGACATGGCACCTTAGGTTCAGTTCTGGGGCCAGGGATCTGCATTGTGAGATTCTCCCAGGCAGCTGCCTCACCCGGTAAACACCAATGTGAAATAAAAGGGTCTTTGCACGGCAAACACCTACAGTGAACTCTGTTGCCAGCACTTCTGTTTAACATTGTGCTTTATGCTTTTGCATCTCAGCTGTCTGTTTTCCACCCTCAGTGCAGTGTACATTCCATGACACAGCCCACGCTCAATCCCTGCTCAATTCAAAGCACCACAGATATTTTAACACTTGATTATAGAAGATCTTTAGAGATGGAACCACTATGACAAAGGTAGTTGGAAATGACAACTCAGAAAGTAGGTAGGTAAAGGAACAAACATGGTAAACTCTCAGTATCTATATTGCAAACCATAATGCCCAAAAGGAGAGTGTGAGAGAGAGACAGACACAGAGAGAGAGAGAGAGAGAGATAAAAGAGAGATAAAATGCCTGCCATAGAGACAGGCTGGGGTGGAGGGAGGGCATTGGCCAGAGGGAAACTGGAGACATTAGTAGTGGAAATATACACTGGTGGAGGGACAGGTGTTGGGACATTGTATGACTACAACTGAATCATAACTAGCTTGTGTAATGTGTATCTCACGATGATTCAATTAAAAAATTTTATTTAAAAATTTTAAAAAGCAATAAAATAAACAGGAATAAAAGGGACTTGACTTTAGACAGAATTTTGTGTAGGGTTTTTTTTCTGTTGGTTTGTTCTGACTTTTGTATCGATTTTGGTTTGGGGTCCCACTTTGTGGTGCTCAGGGGCTATTTCTGCCTCTGCACTCAGGTGCAACACCTGGAGGTGTTCCAGGGACCATACTGTGCTGAGAATTAGAACTGGGGTCAGAAGGCTGCAAAGCCTTAACCCTGTACTATCTCTCTGGCCCCATGGTAGATGGATTTGCGCAGCTGTAGGCTGTGGGGAAAATGAAGGACACTGACGGCCGCCCCTCACCTCCGCCTCTTTTCTCTTCTCTAAGGGAAGCCAAAGACAGTCTCGTTCATTGCCATGACCAGAAGCTCCCAGGAAGACAGTGGAACATTTCCAGAGCTGCTGTCCTATCTCCAGGCCTAGAACAGCACCTTTCACCCCCCGATCTTTCTCAAGGCTGTCCCCAATTGCCAGGTACCCTTTGTTCTGGAGTGTGTGTGTGTGTGTGTGTGTGTGTGTGTGAGAGAGAGAGAGAGAGAGAGAGAGAGAGAGAGAGAGAGAGAGAGAGAGAGAGAGAGAGTATGCCCTCTCCCCTCCACACACACACAAAGTCCTGGCACAGTTAAGTACCCAAACCAGTGCAATCAGGGGGACCAATATGGTCCCAGAAACCTGCCGCTGCTTGCCTGATGGGTTCAACTCGCTCTGCTCGTTCCACTTGCCCAACCAATCCTGCCTGCTGTTTCCATCATTAAACAACATTAAGTCGGTGTCTCTAACAACTGGCCCTCCGAGGGCTTGCTTTGAACTTGGTCATTACTGTGCTCAAGCTCTTCGGGCGCTGGGCTTGCAGCACCACACAGACTAATACAAGTGTTCAGAGTTCGTCTGAGGGTATATTGACCGGGAGTGGTAAACGCATTTTCAACTTGTTACTTTCAATTTAAGGTGAATTTATCTCAATGTAACTCCATCAGAAGTCCCAGAAAATCAGATATTTAAGGAAGGGCTGGGGAGACAGCTCTGAGGCCTAGTGCACGTCCTTTATATGCAGGAGTCCCAGCTCTGAGCATCATCACTGTATGGTGTCCCCAGCCCTAGTCAGGAGTAACCCCGAGAACCACCAGCTGTGCTCGAAGAGGAGGAGAAGGGGGCAAAAACAGGAAAGAAGGACGGTAACAAGGAGACTGTGATCACAAGGCAGAGAGACTCTACTAACATATAAATCAACACGGTGAGGCTCCGGGTTGGATCTGGTGCCACAACCCTCCTAGGAACAATCCCTGACATGACCGCAACAAAAGAAATTATTTATAGCAAGAAAATTGTGGGTGAGACTGTTTGGGGCCATACCAGAAGGTGCTTGGGAACTGTCTCCTGGTTCTGCTGCTCCCGGCAACACTAGGGAACCGTGTGGGACCACGGATTTAGCTGGAACCCACTGCAGGCACAGGAAGTACCTTAACCCTTAGACTCTCTCCAATTCCAACATAAAAAAAATGTTTAACAATAATCAGAAAATGCAAGTTAGACATTCCATCTTTTCCAGAGACTTCCTGAGACTGACCTTTCTATAAATCCGGACCTGAATTGAAAGAGGGGCTAAAGGGGCCCCGGCCACTGGATGCTTTTCTCCTCACTTCCAGCTCCACCCCCAGGGGGGCTCCTGTCACAGGCCCCGCTCCCCTCTCCTCCTGCCTGGGCAGCCCCACCTCCAGGGACCCCCGCAACTCGGAGGGGGCAAACCACAGCTTCCAGCTACTTCTCCAGGGCTGGGAAGTTCATTAGCAGCTGCCCAGGCTGCATGGCTCTGTACAGCTGCTTCCTTCACGCTCCCCCGCAGCATCCTGCTTCCCAGTTGGCTCCTGTGTGGAATGGGATTCCCAATTCTTGTGGCTTTATCACTCTCAGCTAAAAATACTGTGCCACCTGGCACGCGGCCCAGCTCCGGGAGCCCCAAGGAAGAACGAAGGATAAATAAGATGGGGTGTGTGTGGGGGGTGCTGAGAGGGAGAGGAAGCTGTGAGAAGCCACAGCCATGAGGTGACACGAGGGAGGTGGAGGAGGATGGGGACGGCAGGCAGAGAGAGGAAGCAATCCCAGAGGAAGGGGAGAAGTGAGGAGCTCGTAATAATTTACCATTCTCCCGCGCCTGTAACAAGAGCTCACCTCTAAACCAACCTTCTCCCTGCTTAGCCCAGTAATCCAAATGACTACTGATTTTCAAAGGAGCCCCAATTATTTGACATGGGTTTCCTCCTGAGCCATACCCCCCACCTCTGTACAAAATCAACTTTTTGTGTGTTTGGGGGGTGGGAGGGAATAGTGGGGTGGGCCATACCTGGTGGTGCTCAGGGCTTACTACCAACTCTGCTCAGGGATCACCTCTTGGGATGCTCTGGGGACCACATGCAGTGTGGGGGTACCAAAACAGGGTCCGCTGCATGCAAGGCTAGCACCTTAACCCCTGCACTATCTCTCTGACCCCTGTATAAATCAACATATTGTTCATATAGTTTGCCATTTAGCCATATCCTCTGGATACAAACCTGCGTCAGTAAATGTCCCTTACCCACATAATTCTTTTGGCTACATAATACTCTATTTTATATGTGTGCCATGCTTTTATTTAATCGCTAGACACATGGGATTGTTTCCAATAGTCCATATTATAAACAAATGTAACTGCAAGAAAATCAAAAGTGTGTGGGCTTTGCTCTTCTACAAGAAGTTTCAAAACTGGAATAAATGGATGATTTAAATGTTTGTTCTGAATATAGCCAAGTTGCCAATGAGGAGTATAGAAAGTATAGTATGGAGCATAGAAAGAGAAAACAAAATTGTCGTTGTTCTCAGGTAATATTATAGCTGAAACTATAATTCTCAGCTGAAAACCGAGAATCGATTGAAACCTATTGGAAATCACAGAAGCCTGTGGGATTTGTTTAATTCATTCATCTTCTGAAAGAGAAAGACCGTGAAGAAAAAAATCTCAAAACGGATAAACTGGGAAGCTGGGCCCTTTGAAAACTCACCTTGGCAAATTAGGTTTGGAGATTCCCAGGTGCCGGAGGTAGTGCAGCTGGAGACTATCTCCTCTGAGTCGCTGAAAAATCCTTCTCTGCAAGCATAACGGACCTGACTTCCAAGCTGAGAAGTATAATTTCCTAGGACATAGCCATCTGGGACCTCAGGAGGGGGACCACAGTCTATTTCTGACAAAGGAAACGAATATCAAGTTCGTTACTGAGTGAATATGAATTTCCGAATGCCTGCTCTCCCTTTCCCTCTTCCCCATCCGCACCCCCACCCCCACACACCCCTTAAGCATGTTTTAAGTAGACTGGTTCATTTCCTTATGACTTCTGATTACGTTTCCAATGATTCCAGCCTTCTGGACATCAGCCCTCACCAATTCACACTAAGCTGAAGCCTAGTTTCTGAAGCTGAACATCTGAATTGCAAAGTCCCAGAAAATGTCTATGCCTGCATATCTCTCTGGTTACTTTTGTGATGCTGGTCCTTCCCAGATCAGCTCTGTTTACTATCTAACATGATTTATTAACATTGTAGTAGTAAAAGTAAAGTAAGTAAAGGCCCTCCCGTTGATCGTCGATTTGCTCGAGCGGGCCCAGTAACGTCTCCATTGGAGACTTTGTTGTTACTGTGTCTGGCATATCGAATACTCTTGGTAGCTTGCTGGGTTCTCCGAGAGGGGCGGAGGAATCGAACTCGGGTCGGCCATGTTGGCCGCGTGTAAGGCGAACGCCCTACCCGCTGTGCTATCGCTCCAGCCCAACATTGTAGTAGTAGGTGCAAAAAAAAAAAAAAGCCCTAAAGTTCACTAACTTGAGCTTTTTTTTTTTTTTTTTTGCCTATGGTCCCCTTCTACCTTGCTTATCTGATTTTCTGGTTTTTGTTTGTTTGCTTGTTTCCAGAGTTTGTACCAATGCACAAAGGCTCAGATAATGTCCATGCACATTCTTCCCACGTGAACCATCATCCCGGGTTCACGGTCCAAGGAAGTCCGTAGAGCCTCACCTTTGTGAGGTTGAATCCCGACTGCAACCCACCTGTGCATGACGTGGCCTCTCGGGCTGGGTGGAAAGGCACAGGCCCGTTCCTTGGAGAGTATCCGTCCAGACAGTAGCATTCAAAGCTCCCCTGTGTGTTCACACATCGTCCGCCATGCCCGCACCGGCCGGAAAACTCACACTCGTCCACGTCTTGGGACCCAGATAGAAGGGGAAGAAATGCAGAAGAGAGAGGGGAAACGATGGGCTATGAGAGCCGTTTCTCCAACTCTCACCCGGCCCTTGAAAATAGATGGCTCTGTTTGCAATTACATATAAATTTTAATGTTATGCCTCATGTCATAGGAACTAAGAAATGTTCAATAAATAGACTTCAAGGTCTAGAGCAATGGTACAGTGGGTAGGGCATTTGCCTTGCATGCGACTGACCCTGGTCCAATTCCCAGCATCCCACACGGTCCACCCCTCCCCTCCGAGCACTGCCGGAGGTGATTCCTGAGTGCAGAGCCAGGACTAACCTCTGAGCATCACTGGGTGTGATCCAAATGGGAAAACATAACTTCAATAAATAAATAGACTTTAATGTGACCTTGAAATTTATACCCCACCCCCCAAAATTAACTACATCACCAACTCTGACATTCAACAAACTGATACCAAAGAAGGGCACTAACAATTGATTATTAGGGGCCCAAGCGATAATAATACACAAGGTGGGGCATTTGCCTTGTACACGACTGACCTGAGTTTCATCCCTGGCATCCCATATAGTTCCCTGAGCATCACCAGGAGTAATTCCTGAGTTCAGAGCCAGTAGTAAGCCCTGAGCATCACCAGGTGCAACCCCAAAACTCAAATAAATAAATTGATTCTCTTAGCCACTAAATTTAGGGAAACTGGAAGGGAGGGGCAGAGGGAAGCAGAGGGAGCTGGGTAATATAGTAACCAAGATATATATGTGCATATATATACATTTCATCCATATATGTAGATATCAAGTTATATATTCCAATATAAAGTAAAGTAAGGTCCTCCCGTTGATCATCAATTTGCTCGAGCGGGCCCAGTAATGTCTCCATTGGAGACTTTGTTGTTACTGTGTCTGGCATATTGAATACGTCACGGGGAGCTTGCCAGGCTCTGCCGTGCGGGGGAGATACTCTCGGTAGCTTGCCGGGCTCTCCGAGAGGGGCGGAGGAATCGAACTCGGGTCGGCCATGTTGGCTGCGTGCAAGGCAAACGCCCTACCGCTGTGCTATCCCAATAGGTGATATTCCAATATATAACCAAGATACTCTTGACATAAAGATATATAAGCCTAACTCAGACTGAGAGGATATTGAATTAATGTTAAAGCGGAGGGAAGCGTCAAAAAATAGGATCTTCAGAAATAAAAAATGAAATATGAAGGCCCCCAATAAAACTTCAATAGAGCCTGGGGTGTAACTCAGTAGCAAAACACATGCTTCACATGTGAGAGGCCCTGGATTCTATCCCTGGCACTACACAAAGAAACAAACTTCCACCGAAGCACTGAATAAGGCATCGCTACCGAGAAATAAATATGAAAAATTCCAGCTTGAGAATTTCTCAAAAAAGCGCATAGAAAAAGCAAGTAGGTGAGCTAGAGTAGAATAAAAATAATATGAAGTCATATCCAAACCATCAGTACCCAGGGAGGAGGAACTGTGAAAGAGGAAGAAGCAAATATGTAAGAACGGGTTTACATAACCTACTAGGGTGACAGGCACGAACTCGAGAGCGGAGAGCCGGGGAAAGATCCTTTTGAATTTCATGGAATAAGAGAATTTAAACAATTCCCGAGAAAAAGGAACTGTGATTTACAAGGAAAAGGATCCACCGCGACCCAGGGTTCTCATGAAGAACAGCAGCAGGCAGCAATAGAGTCATGTCTGCAGAGGTCTACGGGGAAGGCAGCAAACTATCACGTTGGGTTTAGGCGGGAATGACCTTTAAAGCATGAGTGATCTCAGGAATTATACCACTGACATTTCTTTCCCGAGAAGAAGATTTGAAGAAAAGACTCAAGCCAGCAAAATACATCTGAATAAAGAATGTCAAGACAGGGGAAGAAAGACATCATAGAATACAGCAGAGTGTGACGAGAGAACCGGACTGGCAAAGCTTAGGGTTATATATTTCAACAACTACTGAAAAAATAATCACGGGGCCCCAGGAGAGAGTGTGGATGTCAGAGGCACATGCCTTGCATGCTCAAGGCCCTTAGTTAGATCCCCAGCACTGCATGGTCACCTTCTAGCATCACCTGTGACCGCCAGTATCACTGGACCAAAGCACTAAGCTGTGGGCTACCAGGAGTGGTCCCAAGGTCACCCCCTCAGCACTGCTCAAGAGCCCCCTTTTGATCCTCCCACCTCCCTGCCACCACACCAAAAGTTAAGGGGGAAAAAAAATCATAGAATTTGTGCTGGAATGATAGCACAGCGGGTAGGGCGTTTGCCTTGCATGTGGCCGACCTAGGGACCCGGATTGGATTCCTCTGCCCCTCTCAGAGAGTCCAGCACGAGAGTATCATGCCTGCACGGCAGAGACTGGCAAGCTGCCCGTGACATATTCGATATGCCAAAAACAGTAACAACAGGTCTCACAATGGAGACGTGACTGGTGCCCGCTCGAGCAAATCGATGAACAACAGGACAGTGCTACAGTGCTAGAGAATTTGTGTAATTGGTGCCAGAGTGATACCAATTGGTACAGTGATTAAGGTGTCGGCCTTGCATGCAGCCAACCTGGGTTTAGTCCCCGGCACCCCATATGGTCCCCCATCGCACCGCCAGGAGTAATTCCTGAATGCAGAGCCAGAAATAACCCCTGAGCATTCCCCAGTGTAGCCCAAAAACAAATAAACAAACAAAAGATTTGGAAGTAATTATTAAGAAATGTCTGTCATGATTGCCACTCAATGCCTCTTTTGCAAACCACAACACCCAAAAGGAGAGAGAGAACAAAAGGGAATGCCCTGCCACAGAGGCAGGGTGGGATGGGGGAGATGGGGGGGTGGGAGGGATACTGGGATCCGTGGTGGGAAATGGGCACTGTTGGAGGGATGGGTATTTGATCATTGTATAATTAAAACCCAAGCACAAAAATTTGTAAGTCTACAACTGTACCTCATGGTGTTTCACTAATAAAAATTTTTTAAAAAATTGTTAGTTTAAAAAAGAAAGTAAAGTAAAATGAGTCTCAATTCAGTACAAACTTGAGAGACGCTTTCAACACTGCAGATCGTAAGCTGCATTCCTAATTTAAACTACCCATTTAGTTTCTCAGTTCCCATCAGGGAACTGTAAAATGTGTGTATATCCCTCTGACACAAATAATTTTCTAACCTGTTCCACTTGCTCCAGGCTTCTTGAAAGAGAATGTGAGCCAAAGAATCTTTCTGTAGGTGTCTACAGATATGCAGTACAAAAATGTGGCTGAACTGCAGTGGTAGAGAAAAGATTTAGAGTCTAGATTTTGATCAGTCCCCGTAGGGGCCACCATTAGTCATTTGGTTTTGTGTCCAATCATTTGACCACCCAATGACAATAACTGTCAAAATGATGGTTAGTAAAAATAATCTGCATTCCATATTCTACATGCCAGGCTCTATTCTATGGGCTTTGGAATTTATAAGTATATAAATGCACCTTATCATACTGTCATTGTTATTTTCATCTCATTCAATACTCACAATAAGCCTGGGAGGGAAATGCCATTATCATCCCCATTTTACAGATAAAGCAACTGAAGCAGAGTGGATAAGGAGCTGAACCGTAGTCAGGCAGGTGAGGAGCAGAAAGGCAGGATTAGAAACTGCCTTCAGAGACCATGTCCCTAACCATCCTGCCACACTGTCTCTCCCATTACAATCTCATTGTAATAGCATCCAAGTAACAATTCTCCATCTCGTGGCAGCGTGTCCAAGGTACTTCCTTAACAAGGCAGGTGTATCTATTGTGATGCACCATCTTATGATGGTAGAATTTTAATGTTTGATCCTCTGCTGTTTCTGAATGCTTACAAGCCTAATCCAGCCTGGAACCTTAGCCAGATAAACAAGCTAAACTTATCAGAAAAACTTCTCATAATGATACATTTCCTGGGGCCTCCAAGGCTACGCAGTGTTTGCTGGTGACAGGAAAATGATGCAAGCAACCTTACTAACATAGTCAACAAATTCAGGGGAAAGACTGTTCCATTCCACACACAGAATGATTTCACTTTCGCCGCAGTCACACGGGCGTAGAAAAACTACACAGGACACTCAGGACCTAGGTGTCAGGCCTTGGTGTTCTATCAATAGCATATTGTTCTATTTAGTCAAACAGACCCAGGTTTAAGAATTGATCCTGGGAGCCGGGGAGAGAGCTCGAAGAGCTGATGCACATGCTTCGCCAGAGCCGAGCTTCTGGCAAACCTAGACCACTGCATGGTCTCCTGAGCTCTGATAGGAGGGGACCCCCAGCACTGAGCCTTGAGTAGCCCCTGAGTGCTGCTGGATTCGGCACACATGTGCACACACGTGTGCCCCCCCCCCCCCCCACACACACACACATGCCCCTGATCTGTTACGTACAGACTGTTCCTTAACTGTCTGGAACCACTTTTGTAAAATGGAGCTGATAACAGCAGTTGTGGGGATGGCCAGCGGACCAGAGGGCCCCAGGATGTGCTGGCTGGTACATAAATGGGCCTCACCTCTCTCCTGGATCAGGACTCCCTGGGGAACACTCCAGTCCTTCATAACCCACATCTGAGTCCGAGTGTGACCATTCCTAATGCCTGTGCATATGCCCGCACGTTTCCCTGTGTACGTGGACACACGCACACACATACTCTCCCTCACACACACTCACAGGTGTCTTGGTTAACGCCATGCCTGCAGCAAAACTTTGTTGGTGCTCAGTGGCCACCAAGGCTACCCCTGAGGGGTGGGAGGGTGGGAGGTATGTGGTGCTGGGAATCAAATTCAGGTCCCTGCCCATGCTAAACATGTGTATACAGACCAGCTATTCTCTGGTCCTACAAACCTTCTTCGTTGGGGTGAGGGGAGGGAGAAGGAAGAGGGATTGTTTGTTTGGGGGCCACACCCAAGTGGTGCTCAGGGACCAGCCCTGCCTCAGGGCTTGAAGAGTTCCTCTCAGCAGTGCCTGGGGCACCATGCAGTACCAACAATCAAATCCAGAGCTCTGGCATGCAAAGCATGTGCTCCAGCCCTCTGAACTGTCTCTCCAAACCTGCTTCTTATGAGCAGGGCGGGGGGTGGTGGGGGGGCAGGGGGGGGTGGAGGGGGAAAGTACTAGCTCATTCTTCTGTCTCCTTCTGGGACTAACAATCAAAGATCATCACAATCAGAACCAAACGATTCCTTCATCCCTGCTCTACTGCAGTGATCTGTCCTCAGGTAACAAGTTTATCCTTTTTTGACACATAACTTTTGCTCGCCAATAGCTGAAGAAATACGGGGTTATTTTCAGAGTCAGGCTCACCATGTTTTAGCCGTGAGCTATGATGACCTGAACTCAATGGTCTGAATATTTCCTTCATGATCTTGTCAATATTGTTTGTTTCGGTAAACTTTCTTTACAGGTGGTTCAAAGAGAAACCCCAGCCCAGCTCCTGTCTTTCAATTATCAATCATAGATCATTTTAGATCTATCTCCTAAGACTTTTGTTAGTAATATAAAAAGTAACTGTATACATATTCTTTTTATTATTTTTTTCTGGTTTGGGGATCATACCCAGCAGTGTTCAGGGCTTACTCCTGACTCTGTGCTCAGGGATCACTTCTGGCAGTCTCAGAGGATCCTATGGGATGCCGGGGTTTGATTATACTATCTCTCCAGACCCAGAGCACAGGTTTTGGATATGAGATGCCTGGGTTCGATCCCTGGCACCTCTTGGTCACCCAGGCACCACCACAAAAGCAACCACAGAGCACAGAGCCAGGAATAGTTACAGAACATTGCCAAGTATGCCCCCAAGCAAACAATAAAAATTAAAATTAAATAAAGTTAAATGAACTGGTATTGATTGTTACACAATTTAGCAAATATCCCCCCAAGCCACAGAATTATACACTTTTTGAAGTCAATTTTATGGTTGTGAATTATATCTCAATGTTTTCTATAACTGGGAAGGTCACTAAATAATTACAAAAAGTAGAATAAATAGGAGGCGAACCTAGACTCATATCTTATTTCAAGAAGACTGGTTTTTATTAGAATGACATCTGTTTGGTCTTTAAATAAAACGCTTTTTTCCTTCTGCTATCTTTAAAAGTCAAATGCACCCTGATACACACAGTTGTAAACTCTTTATCCTGGCACATTCCCATGGCTGAGAAGACACAACCAACTCCACCAGGCCCTCCAGAAAGTCACTCTGAGCCCCCCCTCCCTGCACCCATTGATTCCAGTAAGTGCCCTTCACTTAACTCTGACCAGAGATCTTAATTTGAAATTCTGCTATTCCTCCCATTGCACAGCCTTGGTGCACAGAAAGAACATGAAAAGCAAGATGAATGAACAGAATTCCAATTCATCATCAAAGACTTTTTCAAAAATTGGTCTTTTGGGGAGAGACAAACAAAGATAGTACAGGGTTTAAGATGTTTGCCTTGCATGCAGTCAACTCTAAGTTGGTCCTCAGCACCAGAGAGGGTCCCCTGAGCACCGCTGATCTCCCTTAAACACAGTGAAGGATATTCCCCATGCATGCAAGATGGGACCCAAAACTACCCCTGCACTCCCACCACCATCCCCCAAAAATGATTACTTCTTATTAATGCACTCGCTCAATTCTGCCAGGAGTGACTTCTATAACTGCAAAGCAAGGAATTCACTAGCCAATACAACTGGCTAGCACAAAACATTTTCTCTGAGGAATCCATCATTCATGCCAAAAATAAATTAAACATAACCTTTGAGGGTTTTTTGTTTTTGTTTTTGTTTTTTGTTTTTTACCTTGGTACAGTCAAGAGGGAGAATGAATGAGAGCCCTTCGGACAAGGCGTATGGACCTCTCCCTTTCCCACCCCCAGACCTTTAAATATCACACTTTTTTTTTTAATCTGTGGTTGTTTTGTTTTGTTTGGAAGGATACCTAGTCTTAGTCCTGGCTTACACACAGGACTTACTCAGGCTCTGCACTTAGAGATTACTCCTGGCAAGGCTCGGGAGACCTTAGGGGATGCTGGGGATCAAACCCAGGTTACATCAGTGCAAGCACAGCACCCTACCCACTGTCCTATCATGCTGGCCCCTAAATATCACAATACTTTTAAGATAATCTTAGAACAGTAATGAAGAGTAGCACTGCACTGTCCTCCCATTGTTCATTGATTTGCTCGAGCAGGCCCAGTAATGTCTCCATTGTGAGACTTGTTGTTACTTGTTTGGCATATCGGATACATCATGGATAGCTTGCCAGGCTTTACTGTGCAGGCAAGATACTTTCAATAGCTTGCCAGGCTCTCCGAGAGGGGCAGAGGAATCGAACCCAGGTCGGCCATGCTGGCCGCATGCAAGACAAACGCCCTACCGCTGTGCTATTGCTCCAGCCCAGTGAAGAGTAAAGTCCAGAAAAGGCTTTCAATTCTAATGGTTTTGCATCAACTTCATCTCTCTGTTCACATACCCTAATACACCTAGTTATGCCCCTACTGTGGCTTACAAACTCAGCACAAATTCCTTAATACTGTGCTGCCTCAGAAGGCAGTTAGAACAGAGTGGGGATCACGAAGTCAATGATGGTTGGAGGAATTGTTCGGGATGGGAGATGTGTGCTGAAAGTAGATAAAGGACCAAACGTGATGGCCTCACAGAATCTATATTGTAAACGATAATGCCCAAAATTAGAGAGAGAGTGGGGAAAACTGTATGCCACAGAGGCAGGGGGAGGGTTGAAAAGGGGGGGGTGTATACTGGGGACATTGGTGGTGGAGAATGTGCACTGGGGGAGGGATGGGTGTTCGATCATTGTATGACTGAAACTCAAACATGAACGTTTTGTAACTGTATCTCACGATAATTCAATTAAAAAAAATACTGATCCTGCCTCTGTTCAAAATTCTCTCCTGATACTCTTAAAGGAGAGTCCCTCTGTTAAACCACACTCAGGGTGGCCCTGCCACCTCCCTTGTCTGCTCCCCAGAGGGGCCTGCACCACCCCCTTGCTGCCCTCATCCTGTCCTCCTTTACCTGCGCAGAAGGTGCCGTCGTTGGGGATGAAGGTTGTGTTGTTATTTGTGGCTCGGTAGCCCTCTAGGCAGATGCAATAAAAGCCTCCGAGCGTGTTGTGGCAAGACGTGTGGTTCCCACAGACCACGGTGGCTCCAAGCTGACACTCATTTTTATCTGTGGATACATGGAGGAAAATTCACGGCTCGTGGTATCAAGGCAAAGCATGTCTGACAACCCACAGTGCTCTCCCAGCCAATCACGGGAACATCGAGACCCAGGAACCACAGGGTAATAGGAGAGCAGGCCTGTCACGCAAAAGAACGTGAGTCCCTTCGAGCCACGCAGCACCAGGATGTGGAAGCACAAGAGAAACCCAGAGTCTCCACCCAACCATCCCTCTTATTTGAAGACGGAGAGAAGGGGATTTTCTGAGCTCAGATAGGGAGGGGGTTCGCTGGTGATAGGTGTGGAGTTGGAACTGCATGCATGAGAAACCATTATTAATAGCATTGTAAACCACAGAATCTCGATTTAAAATTTTTCAGAAAAAAGCAAATAAAATGTGGTAGTGGGGTGGGGTATGGGTGGGAGTGGAGAGTTGGGGGGGGGGGGATAAAGATCTTGTCATTGGCCTCCAGAAACCAACTCAGTCGGATCTCGCTTTTCCAGCTTGGCCCTCACTCCCTTGCCTTTTTCTTTCTTTCTTTTTTTTTTTAAGAAAGCCGAAGCAAATGATTTGTACATCCAGTGATTAAGTGGAAAATTGGTTACTTCTGAGTTACCAGGAAACACAATGGAATTAGTGCTTAAGCCGCATCCGGGAGCAGGGCTAATACTGGGGCAGAAACAGCTCCGGCTAACGATCCATGTGACCCAGGCGAGTCACCAGGGGAGGAGGCGCTGCACGGGGCTGCTGAAGGGCCCACAAAAGCCTGCCCTGTGTATGTGTAATGAAATAATTTGACGGAGAGGTAAAATGAAAGCAAATCTCCCTCCCACCCCCGTCCTCCGACTCAGGGGTCAACGAGCTTTCTCCGTCAAGGACCAGCCATCTGGTCTCTGTGGCAACCGCTCACCCGCCTGTCGGCAGGGGAGAACAGCCAGACAACACATAAAAGAACAGTGCTGTGTTCTCACAAAACTCTTCAGAGAAACAGGCTGTGGCCAATCTGCCTGCCGGCCTGCGTTTACCAACTCTGCGCTAGCCTCTAGCTGGCACCTTTCCAGGGAGCTCGGGGACCTTCTCTTCTCCATCCTCTGAGGGAGCATCTAGACTCCTAGTTTCTGCTGGTGGTGAGAGGGTTTTGCGGGGGAGGGGGCTTGAGTCCTCCATGTCCGACCAGGCTTTCTCTGTTTCTGATTAGTGTCCTATCAAACCCTTGATTCCCTCCGAGCAGTTCAATCTCCCTTCACAAGGGCACTCACTTCCTGCCAGCTCAGATGTATCCCTCACTGCTCCTCCGCCCTCCAAAAATAAAGAATATGGTTATATCCCACCCCCCCTTACCTTGCTCTTTTTACTTCTAATTTTTTTTTTTAATTTAAGCCTGGAACAGAATTTATCTCTGCTGAAATTTGCATGAGAGCTTAGGGAAACACAGGGGTCTTCATGCCAAAGCCAGGCTATGAGTTGCGTCTAATGGGGTTTGGGACCCAAGTCGAGTTGCCCCCAGTGGGACACAGCTGTCCTCTCCTGATGTTTTGGAGGCATGTTCCCACAGTAGACCAAATCAGAAGGGGCCCTTGGGTTTGAAAGGAATTCCAGAACTCGTGCAGTTCCCTGGCCCTTAAAGCATGCTGCAGTGTATCTACAGAACATAAACACAACCTCACCTGCACCACAGGTACCATCCCAGAGGCTGAAAACTGGGGGAGACAGTGTCCAGTGTTAGCAAACAGCCCCTTCTGCATGAACAAAGCCCCTTTCCCCACCTCAGGTGAAGAGTCTGGTGCCCAGAGGTCAAAGCAAGCCCTTCTGAGAAGATTTCATTGGGAGGGAGCACAAAAGTCTTGCTTGGACACCCCAGCTCCAAGTTCAACTCCAAGTCCCTGCTGGCAGGTAGGGGGGAAGAAACACCCTCAGGACCCTCTGACTGAAGGTCAGAATCCGAGAGAGAAAAAGAGGCGGCAGAGACCGCAGGAATGGGCCTGAGGAAGCCTGCACCTGTTGGATATGTCTCTGGGGGGAAAGGGGTTTTCTCCTGACAGTGCTCGGGGGGCTCTGGGGCTACTCCCACCAATATTCAGCCTGGCCGTGTGGAATAGGTGTTCAGGCCCAGACACGTGGCATTGCTTGTGCTAGCGGGCCTTGGGGGTCACCAGAATCACACCCAGTGGTAGCTGAGGGCCTTCAGGGCTGTGCCCAGGAGTGTTCAGGAGGCCATACAGTACCAGGCATCAAACCCAGGGCCTCATGCCTGCCAAATATGCACTCCAGCCCTTTGAGCTGTCTTCCTGGCCCTGGAACATGACTTCATGCTTTAATTTTGTTGTTTTCAGTTTGTGTGTGTATGTGTTGTGTGGGGAGGGTGTACATCTGGCAGCACTAGGGTGCTACGCTCAGCACTATAGTCAAGGTCATTTCCAGAGGTGCTCAGGACACGAGGCAGTACCAGAGATTGAACCCTGGCCTCCAGCAAGCAAAGTGTATGCTCAGCCCATTGAATGACTTATTTTGGCCCTATGGTATGACTTATTTTTTAAAATTCAGAACTGAATTCTTATTTTTCTTTAGAAATATAAAACTAGTGGAGTTCATGTCCGATTCAATCAGCCTAATCAATGGCTGAGTAAATATCAATACTCCTACATTAAAAAAAGAAAGAAAGAAAAAACTATCACAAGGTTGTAGACTCTGTTGATCCACAACTACGAGGCAAAGCAACCCGTCTTTTTACTGTACTGAACAGGACTGCCAGACTATCAAACCTTCACTGCTAAATTGGCTGTAAGATCTTTCTCTGAATTGGGCTTAGACCTGGAAATCTGTGACCAAAGAGACAGAACAGCAGGTAAAGCACTTGTTAGCAGGTTAACAGCCTGGTTTCCATCCCAAAGGTCCCCCTGAGCACCACCAGGAGTCATTCCTGAGAGCAGAGCCAGGAGTAACCCAAGCTCCCAGTGTGGCCCAAAAACCAAAAGAAAAAGAAAAACCTGGAGGATTGGCATCAATTATTGGACTCAAAGCAAGAGCATTTCACCAGTCCCATAGGAAACTATGTTTAGTGGAACTAATTTAAGTAGTTTCATAATAAACAAACAAAGAAATGATGCAATATTCACACAAGTCAAGTTAAACTCAAGACTTCAAACAGATGTTTAAATGATTTATTTTTGTTTTAACAATAAAGTCACTATTACTGGGAAACATTTTAAATTTGCGTTAGGACAGGGAACTTGTAAAGATTCAAGTTCAATGACCTCTGATGTAAGGGATCATTCTTGGGAACCCTAGAGAATGGATATACCCAAACATTGAAACAAAGGCTTACTAACAAGTCACAAAATATCTTCTGATAAAAATACCTCAACAAAATTACAATGTTTTCCCTCCCAAGGACATCAGCTCTTCAACAGGAGAGAATCTGATTTCTTGACTCAACTTCTCAGCTCAGCTCAGAGTAAGTTCAGAACTTACCAATACACTGGGTTCTCCCATTGCCCACGAATCCATAGTTGCAAATACACATCTTCTTCCCCTCTTCTTGCTTGCAGGTAGCATGCTCATGGCAAGTGGCACAGACATCCAAACCTGAATCATAAATTGTGTATTTCAGGTAAAGAACAATTCAATTGCCTCCTCTTGAGACAACACACTTGGACACAATGGAGGCGGGGGTAGGGGGTGCATCTGGGTACCAAGATTTGGGTTCATCTTTGAAAGCCTGAAACCACCCTAAAATATGACAACTCACTGCCCATAGGAAAAGTACAAATTACCCAGCCTAGCATCCAGTACTCTCAATGGTGCAAGCTAATACCTCTAGCCCTTTCCCCCCAAACCACCCGCAGTGCTATCCTCTAGACAAGGTATTACCTCTCTTTCCCAAATATGCAACCATGTCAAGCCTCACACCATCCTTATGAGAGTCCCTTCAGCCACAATTCAGCCACAATGCCAATCCCTCTATCAGGGTAGCACTTGTTTCTTTTAAAAGGCCCAGGTGAAACGTAAGATTCTTCCTGAGGTCTTCTGCATCCCTCCTTGTTTTGAGGGGGTGGGAGAGGGTTGGGGGAAGAGGGAGAGAGGGCAGCCACACCTGGTACTGCTCAGGGCTTAATTCTGTCTCCACTCATGGATCAGACCTGGCAGGGCTCGGGGGCCCATATATGGGATGCCAGGGACCAGATGGGGAACTCAGGTGGGCCATGTGCAAGGCATGCACCTTATCCAGGCTTACTTATCTCTTTGCCTTCCCCCATCCCTTCATCCTTTTTTTTGGGGGGGGGGGGGGCCCTCTGGGGGCAAACTGCACAATTTATGTTACTCCTAGCTCTGCACTAGAAATTACTCCTGGCAAGGCTCAGAGGACCATATGGGATGCCAGGGATTGAATTTAGGTCGACCACCTGCAAACAAGCACCCTACCCTCTGTACTCTCTCTCCAGTTTCCAGGTCTAAGCCCAATCAGAGAAAGATTTTGCAGCATGCAAGGCAAGCACCCTACCCACTGTACTATAACTTTGGCCCCTTTATTCTTTTCTTTGTTTTTGCTTTTTGGGTCACACCCGGCGATGCACAGGAATTACTCCTGGTTCATGCACTCAGGAATTACTCCTGGCGGTGCTCAGGGTACCATATGGCTTGCTGGGAATCGAACCTAGGTCGGCTGCGTGCAAGGCAAACGCCCTACCTGCTGTGCTAGTGCTCCAGCCCCTGTCTCTCTCCATTCTTAAGGGAACTTCAATTGATAGTCCTCTGTGCTCCTCTAACACCTGCATCTCAATCAAATCAGGTTTCTCATTACATTCTATTCCTGCTGACTTCCCAACAGCGGATTATGAACAAGCCCCCCAAACATGTGGATTGTGTCATTTGCTCAAGTGTCCCCATGGCACAGTACAAACAGTGCTTGTATGATGATGAAGGGACCAGATAAAGGAACCTGCCATCCTAATTGCAATAAGTCAAGAGCAAGAAGTAGAGGGAAGGCTAACTCATCCAAGACCCAGCCCACTTTCCTTTAGGGAAGAGAGCGAAAGTGTTTAAAATGTCAGTGAGACAGCTGCCAGGTCCCGATTACTTAGATAAACAGCAAAATTGTTTAGGGTTAAAACTCCTAAAACATCCAATCTACCAGATGGTGATATCTGGCCTAAGATCAAACAAGAATTTCTACCCGAGGGTATATGGGATATTGGGTTTCACTCTTGGTGTCTGTAATTTCAGGAGGAGCCCGGTAAGGAGAACCTTTCCAGCGTGGAATTTCATCTGCGTCTTGGCCCCATTACCTCTCAAGTAATAAAGACCTGGCCCTCGGGCCACTCCAGGCACGAAACCAACAGAGACAGGGAGATTTCCAAATACTCTCGGCCATAGTTGCTTTAATTTTTTATTTAAAGAAAAGATAACACAGAAATAAAACAAGCCACAATTTATTGCTAAGTAAAACCAAATTGCAGACGACAAAAAAATGCAAGCAATTTTGAAAATGTAGAAACTATATTGGTCATGTACATAAGACTACCATGCAATAATGTAATAAAGCTACAAAATAAAACAATGGACTAGTATCCACCAAAGAAAATCTACTTGGAAACTAAATAACTCAAGAGATAAAATGAACAGCAAGGGGTCAGAGAGATAATATGGTGGATGAGGCACCTGCCTTGCATGTGCTTGCTGACCCAGCTCCCAGTATGGTCCCCCAAACTCCACCAAGAGTGATCCCTAAGCTCAGAGCCAGGAGTAAGCCCTGAGCACTGCTGGGTGTGGCCCCCAAACCAAAACAAAACAAAACACAAAAAAGAAAAGTATTGTTAGATACAAAATATAAAAACTTACCTACTCCAGAAAATTTGAGTTTTACAATGCTTTTCATATTTAAAAAAAGGGAAAGATCGGAACTAGAGGTTAGTCCAGTGGGTAGGGTGCTTGTCTTGCACATGGTCAACCCAGGTTTGATCCCCAGCACCTTTTATGGTCCCCTGATTACTCCTACCATGAGTGATCCCTGAGAGAGCCAGGAGTAAGCAGTGCAGGGGCAGGAGAGATAGTCCAGAGGGGAGGGCACTTGCCTTTCACATGGCTGGGCCAGTGTAGATCCCCAACATCCCATATAGTGCCCCAAGCTTCACTAGAAGTTTTCCCTGAGCACAGAGCAGAACCAAGTGCTGAGCACTGCCAGGTGAAGCCAAAAAATAAAAACAAAACAAAATGGGAGTTCGGAAAGAAGCAAGCAAAAGGATGGGGAGAAAAGAATTGTAACTCAATCAGCATGAATATACACCAATCTTTTGAGAATTCCAAAACCCTTGTTTTACATAGAAAAACTGTGATGAAAGAGTGTAAGTGATTCGCTGGGAAGATCACAAGAGCTCCCTAGACTCAGGATTCCAATTCTGACTGCGAGGAGTGGAAAGAGGACAGCAGGGAAGGCGTACTCTACTCGAGCTAAGCCCCACACTCAAGGGGTACCCTGAGCCCTGCTGGAGTATTCCCTGAGCACAGAACCAGGAGTGAGCCCCAAGCACCACTGGGTGTGGCCCCCAACCCAAAATGATAATAATTTTAGAGTGTAAAATAAAACAAGCTCTCGGGTGAACCACATTTTGCGGAACAGGGCTGCAATGGTTCCTGAAGTCCTTTCTCACTCACGTACTCGTGCTTATCCTTGGGGAGTCTGTGTTCATGGCCTATTAAGAACAATTCCGCAGGGAGCCGGAGCCATAGTACAGCAGGTAGTAGGGTATTTACCCTGCACACAGCCAATCTGGGTTCGTTCCCTGGCATCCCATATGGCCCCCTGATCACTGCCTGGAGTAATTCCTGAGTGCAGAGTCAGTCATGTAGCAGACTCTGCCTTAATGAACAGCTGCTTTCCCTAGAGGCAAAAAGGACAAGGTGTTCCTGACCCATTCAAAGGCGTAGGCCCGGCGCAGAAGAGAGAGAGGCTGACTGAGAAGAGGGACCTCAGCAAGCAGCTCCATCTCAGCCCTGATTAGCCTCACCTGTGGGGCCCCGGAGGGCAGTCTCTTGTGGGGACAGCTTAGCCTAGAGGGAGAGCCAGAAGCAGCACCCCAAAACAAGGAAAGGAGAGCGGGAGGCTGCAGGGCTGCTTCTAATTGGTTTGGTTTTGTACAGGAAACTGAGGCATGGAGACTGCCAAGGGTTGGTTACATGACACGCAAGACGCAGAGCTGAGATTGTTGCTCCAATAGTCTGAACATAACCTATACTAAGGCTTAGTCTGTAATACAAGAGGCTGTTTATGAGAGTGGCCCCTTGCTCAGCTGAAAAATCAGCTGAAAGAGGCTAGGGGTGTGTCTCAGCAAGAAAATACCTGCCTCGCATGCTTAAGACCTGGGCCCAATCCCCAGCCCACATTACCATCATTATCACCATCATCACCACCATCATCACCATCATCATCATCATCACCATCATCATCACCATCACCACCATCATCATCATCACCATCACCACCATCATCATCATCACCATCACCATCATCACCACCATCACCACCATCATCATCACCATCACCATCACCACCATCATCACCATCATCACCACCATCATCATCATCACCATCACCATCATCACCACCATCATCATCATCACCACCATCATCATCATCACCATCACCATCATCACCATCATCATCATCACCACCATCATCATCATCACCACCATCACCATCATCACCACCATCACCATCATCACCACCGTCATCATCACCATCATCATCACCATCATCATCATCACCATCATCACCACCATCATCACCATCATCATCATCACCATCACCATCATCACCACCATCATCATCACCACCATCACCATCATCACCACCATCATCATCATCACCACCATCACCATCATCACCACCATCATCATCATCACCATCACCACCATCATCATCATCACCATCACCATCATCACCACCATCACCACCATCATCATCACCATCACCATCACCACCATCATCACCATCATCACCACCATCATCATCATCACCATCACCATCATCACCACCATCATCATCATCACCACCATCATCATCATCACCATCACCATCATCACCATCATCATCATCACCACCATCATCATCATCACCACCATCACCATCATCACCACCATCACCATCATCACCACCGTCATCATCACCATCATCATCACCATCATCATCATCACCATCATCACCACCATCATCACCATCATCATCATCACCATCACCATCATCACCACCATCATCATCACCACCATCACCATCATCACCACCATCATCATCATCACCATCACCACCATCATCATCATCACCATCACCATCATCACCACCATCACCACCATCATCATCACCATCACCATCACCACCATCATCACCATCATCACCACCATCATCATCATCACCATCACCATCATCACCACCATCATCATCATCACCACCATCATCATCATCACCATCACCATCATCACCATCATCATCATCACCACCATCATCATCATCACCACCATCACCATCATCACCACCATCACCATCATCACCACCGTCATCATCACCATCATCATCACCATCATCATCATCACCA